GCTTGGATTACAGGTGACCACCACCATGCCCAGCTAATTTTTGTGTGTGTGTATATATATATATATATATATATATTTGAGACGGAGTCTCACTCTGTCATCCAGGCTGGAGTGCAGTGGCACAATCTCAGCTCACTACAACCTCTGCTGCCCAGGTTCAAGCAATTCTCCTGCCTCAGGCTCCTGAGTAGCTGGGATTACAGGTGCCTTCCAATGTGCCTGACTAATTTTTGTATTTTTAATAGAGACGGGGTTTCACCATATTGGCTAGGCTGGTCTCAATCTCTTGGCCTCTTGACCCACTCACCTCAGCTTCCCAAAATGTTGGGATTACAGGTGTGAGTGACCACGCCTGGCCAAGTTTATTTTTGTAGAAGGCGAGAACTGAGGATCCAGTTTCATTATTCCACATGAATCATCACATTGATTTTTTTCCTCAGCCTTTTCTGATAGTGATCAAACAGAGAAAAAGCCTGGGATTTGGTCCACATTGGTTTCTGGCTTATGGAGTTCTCTGATGTGCCAGGCTCCACATCTGTGCTAAGGTTAGGTCTTACTTTGCTATAAGTACCTTTGTTTGGGGATCAAGCTAATTGGCCTGGAATTAACTATATATAACCTTACGCGGGAAATCTATTAATCTGTGTTCTTCATTCTGCATGTTTTGGCTCATGAAATTAATTCACTGGATTATGACCAGCATTAAAAAGCAAACAGATTAAAAATCATTCATAGAATGGAATAGAAGATATAGAATGTATTTAAGGCAAATTGTTGTATATTACCTTGCATTCACCTGCGTGCATTTATTTGTGTGCATGTGTACTTGGTTCCTATATGAAGTGCATACCACACTCAAAGTCTCACTTAGTAAATTTAGGAATATGCTCCTTCTAATGTCTGTTCTTTTTTTTTTCTTTTTTTTTGTATGGTTGCCACTATGTAATTGAACGTGGTCCCGTGGCTCCTTTTAGAAGGGCCTTTTCCTCCTCTTCCAAAAGGACTCCTCAGCCCCTGTCTGGAGGAGGGTATCCGGCAATATAATCTGGGCAAGATACTCAAAGAGCCGAGCTTGGAGCAATTGCAACCCAGGCTGAATTCTGATGACCTCTTCTAAACTCCCAGGTTAGTGCTCCTGGAGGCTCGTGCACACAAACATAGGCACACTGACAACACCGTGAAGACACTCCAACCTCATGCAGAGGAAACCATGCCCTCATTGGCCTGGCAGTGGCACAGGGGCCTGGGCAAGCACAGCACAGAAGAGTCCTGGCATAACTGAGATAAAGCATCTCATTTGTAAAAATAATTATTTTGGGCTCGGATGTGTCCAGTGTGCAGCTGGTGAGCCTTCACCATGGGCCCAGCAGAAGTGGATCATTTGATCAGGGCTTGAGAGTGGGACAGTTGAGCTGGGGCTGCAGGGGCTAAGGCTCTTTCCACAGGGTTCAGCACTGGTGCACAGGTAAGCAGACAGGCTTGAAGATGCTGGCTCCGTTCACACACATGGTCACAGACAAAGCCTAGAAAATGATACGGTTTGGTGCTGACCTCCTACACTCACCAAGGACAGTGAATACCCTGTTCTGTCCCTTCATACCCAAGCAGACTGTGCTTGAAAATCAGTTGTATATTAGTAGGCCCTGTGCTCAGCAGGGACTGTTTAGAAAGGGAAGTTAATTTATCTGTCAATTAGTAAGTTAATAACACACAAAGTGTACTGTGTTTTATTAATCAAACAAAAATATGTTAAACACCTGCTAGGCACGAGGAGTACAATGGTAAAGAGTCTAGTGGAAACGTTTTATGGTTAGTGCCAAGACCTGTGTATGTATTAATATGATGCCAAGCATTTAATACCTGATGAAACAATACTTTCTAGGACTACTTGGGTTAGAAAATGGCCCCGCCACAGGCCCAAGCCCATCTCCCGCCTGCATGTGCTCCTCCTACTCCACTCCCTTGTGCACCTGTCAGATGTAATGTCGTGGGGAAGGGGAGTCTCGGTTCCTCTCCTTAACCAGCCTGCCTCCTATCTGTGCAGAGACACATGGGCAAAATTCTGAAAGCCACACCTCCCCACTCCCTTCTCCTGCTAGGCTGCGAGGGACTCTACTTAAACCTGGTAACTATGCTGCCCCCTTCCCTCCAAATTCTGTGGATTACCTCTTCCTCTTTATGGACTAACTAATAGCAACCATAGGCCGGGCGCGGTGGCTCATGCCTGTAATCCCAGCACTTTGGGAGGCCGAGGAGGGTGGATCACGAGGTCAAGAGATTGAGACCATCCTGGCCAACATGGTGAAAACTCGTCTCTACTAAAAATACAAAAATTAGCTGGGCGTGGTAGTGCACGCCTGTAGTCCCAGCTACTCGGGAGGCTGAGGCAGGAGAATTGCTTGAATCCAGGAGGCAGAGGTTGCAGTGAGCCAAGATGGCACCACTGCACTCCAGCCTGGCGCCTGGCGACAGAGCAAGACTCTGTCTCAAAAATAAATAAATAAATAAAATAAAAAATTAAAAAATAAATAAATAAAAGCAACCATATCTAAGTAGCATTTGAGGAGAAGAAACTAGTTATTCACATAAACCAGAATAATTATTGCTGCAACACAGAAACTGTATATAGCAGCCACAGATGAAGTGTGGCCTGAGGAGGTCAATGATCAGTTGCTGCCCTTGCCATATGATGGGTTATAAAATCTTCCCAAGACCAGTGGGGCACCGAGAAATTGAAGACTCAGATACAGCCCAGAGAACAGGGCCTCTCTGATCCATCTCCATTAGGGCCTTGCCTCATATCTCATAGATGGGTAGCTGGAGCCAGTTCTCTGTTTCCTGGACCCTCTAAAAGGACCAAAAACTGGACAGATCCATTGTCCTGGGCACTCAGGAGGCAAGATTCTGTGTGTGCATGAGTGTCTGAACACATATCATGTGAGACAGTGTGTGGGCACTGGGCGCACCAAGCATGAGTGAGTAGGTCAGTGAACACGTGCCAGCCTACGTGAGTGTATATATACGTGCACAGAGTACATGAACATGTGCGCACCAAACATAAGTTTGTGTGAACGTGGCACCACGAGTCAGTGTGTGTTTGTGTGTGGGGTAAGTGAACATGTTGCAGCCTGAGTGCGCAAGTATAAGTGTGTGCAACAGGGATGAATGTGTGTATTAGTGTTTACACGTGTCAGCTTATGTGAGGGTGTGTGAACATGTGTCAGTGTGAATATGTGTGGACATGCACAGAGTGCAATTGAGTGTATGTATGCATGCTGAGGGCGAGAGCGTGTGAGTGTGTGTGTGGGGTAACACGGCTGGGCATGGGTGAGTGTGCACACCAAATGTGAGTGGGTGGGTGAAGAGTGTTGTGTGTGTTCACAATGAGTGTGTGAAACAGACCTGCCAGGCCACGTTAGGAGAATTACATCACCTTCTTTTAATCAGTCTCAAATACCTGCCTCCATGGAGAACCTGCAAGAGCCAGGTTTGGCGAATGTAATGATAATCAATTGTCTAACCACTGCAATAATCACATCACCTTCTTTTAATCAATCTCAAATACCTGGCCTGGTGGGGAACCTGCAAGAGCCAGGTTCTGCTCTTCTTCAAGGCAATGATTACACAATTGATTATCACTGCAATCGCCAATGATAATTGTGTAATCACTGCCTTGAACAAGAGCAGAGCATTTGAGTAACTCTCTCCTTCTCTCCCCTGCTTCAGTTGGGCCCAATATGACAATCCTAATGGAAACTTGGGGGTCAAAGGCAGGTGGCTTACTTCATATATGTTGCAGCATTTCAGGACTGCGCTGCACGTGTGATCCCCTGCCTGATGAGGTAAGTTAAGAGTTAAAACACGGACAGACCACAGCTTCAAGTAAGCAATGGGGATTGGATGTTTTATGTCCTCTGGCGCCATCTTCAGCAGAGAAATATATAGGTCAGTTTTACTTGTCTGGTCTTTGTCATGAAATATGTAGAGCTAGTGCTCGACTTATGACCACGATTGGTTCTGACAGACCGGTCGTAACATGATTTGGTCGTAAGTTGAGTAGGCTATATACACGGGGAGATGGTAATGCTGCCGGAAGCTGGTCCGCACTGTCGTACGCCCAGCTGGGCAATGTTTGCGCTGCCAGACGCGGAGCAGTCGTGGCTAGCGATTGTGGTCGTAAAGTCGAATGGTCGTAAGTTGCATAGGTCGTAAGTTGATCAATACCTGTACTGAAACTTGTGAAGGAGCAGTCCTATGTTAGGATAGAGTAAAAGAGGAAAAGACAAAAAACTCTTGGGCTTTTCAGGAGCCTTGGTTCATCCTCTGCTATTCAAGCCATCTCAAGACCACAACCCTGCTTTGGAGGCTGACTATTGGAGGCACCGGCCTCAGAGCGTTCCACGTGGGCCCTACCTTTCTTGCTCCCTGAAGGAAGGTGCACATTGCTTGAATGAGTGCTTTTTGATTGTTTTTAATCCAGTTGTCTTTGCTGCAGTCTTCGCTGAGGGCTGCGAATGCTGAAAGTCAGATGATTCATGTGCACCCTGTCCATCTAACTCACCTGCTCTTCCACTTCTGCAGGTTACTCCAGTGCCCACCAATACGACAGAGTTCCCACGTGCCCTCACTCACACTCCATCATTTAGCCGCATCCTTAACCTGTTTTTGCCACACCATAAGCATTTTTTTTTCCTGAGATGGAGTTTCACTCTGTCTCTCAGGCTGGAGTGCAGTGGTCTCAGCTCACTGCAGCTTCCATCTCCTGAGTTCAAGCGATTCTCCTGCCTCAGCCTCTTGAGTAGTGGGGACTACAGGCGTGCACCACACCTGGCTAATTTTTTATATTTTAGTAGAGACGGGGTTTCCCCATGTTGGCCAAGCTGGTCTGGAACTCCTGACCTCAGGTGATCCGCCTGCTTTGGCCTCCCAAAATTTCGGGATTACAGGTATGAGTCACCACGCCCAGCCAGCATTGGGGTATTTTATCGAAGGCGGAGGTCATGAATGTTGAGAGAGCCTCAGCAGATGGGGACTAGCCAGAGGTGGTCTCTGCCATCAAGAAGACTTTGAAGATAGGGTTCGGGACACCAGTCAACATCGCTATGGCAGGGGACTCTGGCAATAGCATGTCCACCTTCATCAGTGCACTTCAAAACACAGGGCATGAGGGGAAGGCCTCACCTCCTACTGGGCTGGTAAAAGCTACCCAAAGACGTGCCTCCTATTTCTCTTCCCACTTTCCAAATGTGGCGCTGTGGGACCTGCCTGGCGCAGGGTCTGCCACCAAAATTCTGGAGAATTACCTGATGGAACTATAGTTCAACCAGTAGGACTTCATCATGGTTGCATCTGCACAATTTAGCATGAATCATGTGATCCCTGCCAAAACCATTGAGGACATGGGAAATAAGTTCTACATTGTCTGGACCAAGCTGGGCATGGATCTCGGCACAGGTGCCCTCCCAGAAGTGCAGCTACTGTAAATCAGAGAAAATGTCCTGGAAAATCTCCGGAGGGAGCAGGTATGTGAATGCCGCATATTTATGGCCTCCAGCCTTGAACCTTTATTGCATGACTTCCGAAAGCTTAGAGACACATTACAAAAGACTCATCCAAATTAGGTGCCACGGCCCTCTTCAAAACCTGTCCCACACCTGTGAGATGATCATGAATGACAAAGCAACCTCCCTGCAGAACAAAACAACCATACAGTCTTTCCAGGATGCCTTTGGCATCTGGGGTGCAGATGATTTTGTGAAGTGTCTGAAGGTCTTTTAATTGTTCTTTGGTATGGATGATGAGTCTCTCTGGCAGGTGGCACAGAGAATGGGCAGGAAATTCACAGACTACATGAACATCATGAAGTCCTGTGATGCACAGGGTCTGCAAAAGAGATGGGAAACGTATGTGCATGACTTGTGGAGTTATGAAGGCATTTCTTAGCCTTTTAAGCTACACCCCACTGTTACTTCAGATGAATGAACTACAGACACTTACTAGAGATAATTTCTGAGAACACCAAGACTATCTTAAGAGAAGTCCTAAAAGACCACATCAACCCACAATGACAGCCAACTTTAAAAAATTCCGGCAGGCTCTTTCTTGGTTGGCACTAAGGACTGCAAGTTCTCTTCTCAATGGGGTACACTTTTCTCACTCTAAATCAGAGAGATTTAAGTTAATATTTCCTTCTCTTACTTTGTGTTATAAATTTCTTGAAATAAGAAGGCAGGTTGCTTGAATCTCAAGATGGAGAATATCAGTAATAACAGACTTCTGAGCTTATAAAACTTCAATTGAAATCTACAACAAACCTCTAAAACAGAAAAAAGTAGTAACCTTGTTAAAGGGCTCTAAGTTCTTGTTTTATCCAGAGTGTGAGTAAAGAATTTGATTAAGTTTAAACTGTGGTTTATAAGTAATGCCTAATATCTTAAATTTAAAACTAATGAAGGAATAGAAACTGTGCAAATAACTTGCAAGTGACAAGAAAAGGAATAGTATAACAAAAATACATGCAATCTAAAGGAAGGCATCAGAAAAAAATATAGCACAAAATAAAATGTTACATATAAATTGAAAATACCAGTAATTATATTCAGTGTCATTGGAATAAATGTTTTAGTTAAAAGTAAAATGATCATCAGGCTGGATTTTAAAATTCTATCATATATATGTATGCATGTATATAATGATGATTATTATTATTTTGAGATGGAGTCTTGCTCTGTCACCAGGCTGGAGTGCAGTGGTGCAATCTCGGCTCACTGCAGCCTCTGCCTCCTGGGTTCAAACGATTCTCTTGCCTCAGCCTCCTGAGTAGGTGGGACTACAGGTGCATGCCACCACACCCAGCTAATTTTTGTATTTTTAGGAGAGATGGGATCTCACTATGTTGGCCAGGATGGCCTTGATATCTTGACCTCGTGATCCACATGCCTCGGCCTCTCAGAGTGCTGTGATTACAGGTGTGAGCCACCATGCCCGGCCACCATATATATTTTATAAGTGACATACCAGATAAGGATATAGAAACTATGCAAAAAAATCTATCACTCAAGTCCCAGGTCAAATAAAGCAATGGTAAGCCAAATATACAGTAAACAATATTTCAGAGGAATGCCTGTACAGATGGCAAAAGTATTCATTAAAAACCAAGAAGTACATCCAATAGTCAGGCTGGTTTTAAACTCTAGCTTTTGGAGCGGAATGAGAGTTTTCTTTGCTGCTGACAGGTCCTATTTCTTTCATTTAAGAAAATGTCGGCTTTATTGAGATGCTATTCACATAGGTAATTTTTAAAAATCTGTATGGTGGTAAAAGAGATGTGTGCTTATAATTTAAACATTACTTAAAGATTTTATGCATGATTATGTGAGTTCTATTTCTTAATGATAAGAAATTGTAAAAGGATTTCCTCAAAGGATATCTTCATATGCTGACACAGAACAATTACCAACACGTGAAAGAAAAAGGAGGGTGCTAGACATTACTTAGGAAATACTTCATGTCTGTAAAATAGAGAAATAGCTTGTGCTTACTTGCTCATGTATACACCCAATTGCTCTGCCAGGATATTATGGTCATTTGTCAGGGTTAAGGGGTGGATAAATATGGAGTGGGAAGACATATTATTATGTACCCCCTTTTTTGAGACAGAGTCTTGCTCTTTTGCCCAGGCTGGAGTGCAGTGCTGCCATTATATAAGAGCTTACTTGAGCCTCAAACTCCTGGGCTCAGGGTATCTTCCTGCCTCAGCCTCCTGAGCATCTAGGACACAGGCACACACTCATTATGCCTGGCTGATTTTTACATTTTTCTCTAGAGACAAGGTCTCCCTATGTTGCCCAGACTGGTCTCAATTATTCTGGTTTCCACCCCCTGTACTGAGAGTGAGCCATGAGTTCCCTGCCTGGCGGTGCCTGAGGTCAGCTCCCAGACCCAGGATGACTATGAGACAGAGATGGATGAAGCGTTCTTGTACAGAGATATGTGAGTATTACCGAGCAGGCACACACTAGCTTTCTATTCTAATGAACATTTTCAAATTGGAAAAACAAAATTCATCTCTACTTTTCACTGACAGATGTTTGGAAATGTTAGTTTTGGTTTCAATGAAGCCATACAGGTAAGAAAAACCATCCTACTTGGACTGGAAAAGAGGGATAGGTCAAATTTCAGAGCAAGAATTGACATGATAGTTGGGCAGGAACAGAGATAAAGGGAAACCTGTGCTTTTGGTTGAACTCCCTGCATATGGCCGTGGAACAGCAGCCTGGTGGTCTGATTACCATAAGTAGCACCCTCCTACCATTGGTCTTGAAGGGAAGATGGAGCAGGTGCGGAGTCAGATCATGGCAGAGAATGGGATAGGGTGTTGCATGCATTTCATCTTCCTCCTCCTTATCTGTCCTAGACATGATTGGTATGCCTGGGTAAAGAATCATGGACTCATGTGCATCAAAATGTTCACAATGTAGCGTACATAAGAACATCAGCAATGACCTCATGAGGACAGGGACTTTTGATCATCCGTGGTCCCCTAACGCATGATGGCAGGCCAGGTGTGGGGCAAACATTCGACTTTGTAATAGACAAAATTTTTGCATATGATTGAATTTTCTGTTTTGTTCCTTTGAGAAGATGGTACATAAAACTCAAGTTTGGAGATTTCAATATAAAGGGCCATTGAATCATTTGTATATTTCTGAATCTTGCTTGATTCAATCCCTTGCTACTCCCAGCACTGCAATTCATCCATGTCTTCACACAAGGGAAATAACTAGCAGCAGCTCTGTTACTCTCCCCTCGTTGTAAACACTCTGATGGTATTTACAAGTAGGAAGATAGCCCAGTAAATTCTCATCTAAGAATGTTTTGGGTAGGCTTTTCGCATTGCTTATTGTAGATAAATCTGGAATTTGTGAAGTACAGGGCACGACTTGGAGAGCTGAAATTAGTCGTGCAGGTTTCCTACCTGTGCAACTAATGGAATGTAAAACCTAAGAAGCTCTAAACTTAAATGGCTTCCTAGGGCTAACACGTACGGCATGTACATGATACATACAGTAACATTAATCTCTTACTCAGATGCAAAGTACATTACAGTGCAAAAAATAGATTTGTTTGGAAGTACATCTGATTTTTTGGGTCTTTTCAAGGATGGATGTTGCTGTTTCTCTGCTAGCTTTTTGTTCATATTCTTCACCAATTAGTAAAATTCAGTTTTAAGTAACCTGTATAATTTCCATAAATCTCCTTGCTTTGACAATTTGAGCTCCATGGTAGCGTAATGACTTTAGATCAGAACTGTGCCATTCAATTGGCTTTTGGTGTACTTCTGATATTACTATAAATTCTTCAGCTCAGCTTCTCATTAGTATATTATGTTTTAAAAAATCTTAGTTCTTAAAGATTTCTTTTTCTTATCTTTTCCTGCTACATTTGATTCCTTAGAGCAATCATTTGTTCTGATTAAATTATTAACAGTTAATTTTTCTACCTAAGTTGCACAGGGGATGGACATTCTTTCCATCTGGCTCACCAAATTCAAAATACTAAAACTATAATAATCAAAACCCATTTTAGATATTGATTTCTTATTTGAGCTGTTTGTCCACTTCTTATTTCATGAAATTAGGAAGTTGTTCACACATTCTCACTAAGAGCAGTGATGCCAGCGATGCAGTGTAATATAAGGCTGAAGGCTGGTACCCAGAGCATGGGATAAGCTAGAGAGAGCCCGAAGGATGTGATTTAAAGCCATATTCTGCAGAGAATGGAAAAGGCCACATCTCCACTGCATCTTCAGTTCTGGAAACCACTCTCAACAAGAATGTACCCTTTTTCATTCTCAAGTCTAGGCACAAGCAGAAGAATCAAACTACTATTTCTATTTCAGGTTAGTTTATCTATATCTCGTTTCCTGGAGAGTGTTTTAAGAGTGTATATTGTTGAATTTCTAATAGAACGGAAAAAGATATTGAGTTTCTTTATTGTATTTTTAGACAACATTCTCAAATAAATTATAGTAACCTTTACTCATATCTTTTATTATTTTATTTTTTCTGCTGCTTTGGGTTTAGATCACTATTCTTCTTTTAGCTCCTTAAAACACAAAGTTTGTTGTTGCACTGAAATCTTTAATCCTTTTAAAATGTAAGTATTTAAAGCTATAAATTTCCCTCTCAGTACTGCTTTTACAGCATCCTATTAGTTTTTGCTTATTGTGTTTTCATTTGTCCTAAGATATTTTCTAATTTTTCTTATTTAACCCATTGGTAGTTTAAAAGTGTGTTGTTTAATGTCCCTATATTTGTGAATTTTCCAGTTTTTCTTCTGATAGTTTTAGTTTTATTCCACAGTAACTGGAAAAGACATTGCATAATTTCAATCTTTTAAAATTTATTAACACTTACTTTGTGGCCTAATGTAGGGTCTCTCTTGAAGAATGTTCCATATTCACTTAAGAAAAAACCATATATTCTAATGGAATGTTGCTTGGCGAAGTGTTCTGTATGTGTCTGCCAGGTCCAGTTGGTCTGTAGTATTGTTCAAGACTGGTGATTCTACCCAGTGTTGAGAGAGGAGTATTGGTATCTCCTACTATTTGAACTGTAGG